CTAAGCCTCATGAACCGAATATTTTGCTCTAATTGAACAATCTTACGGAGATAGTTATAAGAAATTCTAATATCTGCATCATAGTCTAGGGCAAATAAACTCCCAGCATTAACAGAGCTAACTCAGCTAGATATGAGACAATCGGAAGTACCCCCGCGAATTCCCCAGTAACTTGCCAGATCATTTCCTGTACTTCCTCCTCGATCCTTCCTTGTTCAAGCGGCATACCCTTCTTCCGTATCTCCTGAATAGACCAATGAGCAACGCGTAGCCGAGATTGGATCCCAAAACGTCAATGAAACGAACGATTCAGCAAATTTCTACTGTACTGCAATAATAAACGGTTAAATGAGCAAATAAAATATGTACAAACCTCACAAGTGATCTTCAAAAAACTTGAAAACAAGAGCCAAATATTACTGTGAGAGTAATTCAAGGAATATGAAGGGAAGAAATGAGTCTGAATGAGAATAGCACGCTGACCGTCACGTTGCACTCGAAAGAGGGGAATGTGAGCGGTCAGGTAGTGATTTAAACAAATAGGGTACTGGTGAAGCACAAGCAAACAAAGTCAAGTAATGGCATTGATGTCGTATAAACAAGGAGATGGAACATCAAATGTTTATGTTTGTACGATGGTGCTGGAGGAATGAAACGTGAAATTCACAAAATTTGGATCAAAGTTGGTTTCAGTTCAGGTCAAATTAGTTCACAGGACTTGCGGCTGGTGCCGACAAGATTCCAGTTTATTCCGCAATCGAGCTCCAGTGTTCTCGAAGCGCTTTGACAGATTTTAAACTTCTATTTCCCGTAGGTTATCTCCTTAGCAGGATTCAGGAGAGGCCGAGTAAGCGTGTTGGGGTTTTCAGGAAGGATTTTCACAGATCGATAATTGCACCCTCTGCAGTTAGGCAACGTCGGAAGCCATGCAATGAAAGACCGCCGGACCGCCATATTCCAATTGAAAGCGTACGTTGGAGGTAAAGAGCAATTTTACAGCCCTCAGAGGTAACGGACCAAGTGAACCGTGGATAGCATCCAACATACTCCACGCAGAGACACAAGCGTTGTCTGTCTGTGCACGAGTTTTCAGGTTGCTGGTGCCGACAATACCCAAATCTCGTTCCTCAGTTGACTGCCGAAGCACGGTATTTCCAAGACGTTGGCTTGTGGTAAGACCATGTCCTCCTATCCTCATGTGGGCGCACTTGGAGATTTTCACCGGTAACCCTCCCACACTCGACCAGTTCATCAGAGCATTCAGGTCATCCTGAAGAGACATCTGGTCCGCCTCTGTTCAGAGTGTTCGCAAGAGCATTAGGTATAAATTTAGCACGGGATACTCAACGTTTATGGTATGTCGTTCCCAAAGATCAGAAACAGAAGTGGGCCAAGAACGGAGCCTTGTGGGGCACCTTTGGTGACTATGTACCACGCTGGGAAGGATCTCCCTTTCAGGAAATCCTTCAGCTACCGAAGTGCCGACCCTATGACAAGTATGACAACCCTTATCTCCACCCAGAGGTATGGTAACCTTTAAGAGTCCTGGTTTGTGATCCTGCCTCCAGCACAAGCTGAAGAAATTACGCACGAGACTAGCGGTGCGTTTAAACTTCTTCAGCAACAGGATGATCACCTCTTGGAATAGGTTACCACAGGAGCTGGTGGAGCTGGGGAGCGTACTTGCTTTCAAGAAGGAGCTTGATGAGCGCTGGTTGAACTTGTTTCCTGAAGTAGATGCATAGTTTAAGGTTTGGTAGCAGTTATAGGTTTTCTCATTTACTAACCAACCGAAATAGGGGAGCGCTTCCAAATGTGAGGTCTCTCGCCTGAACAAGGGGAGAATATATTTTTTCCCTTCCTCTTCCCTTGCAGAGGCTTAGGCGATTGGTTCGGGAAGGAAACGCGCAAAACTACAATGTAGTGGTAGGGGCCAATACGTGGCTTCCTACCGAAGGAACTCTGGACGCTCGATTGGCCGTG